GAATGTAATGTGAAATGTGAAAAAACACTAACCTTTATTCTATTTGAAGGAGCAGAAATAATTATACAAACAGAAAATATGTAGATTCCATTTGGACTACTCTAACAAGAAAATGAGAAGTACAAAATACTATATGCTGTGGTAACTTGCATAAATTGAAACAATTAATGTTAGGGCAATGAGCAACTGCTTGAAGATACTGTATCGCCTACGTGGAAAAGAGGGAGGTTCAGATTTTTTTAAAAAAAATACTCATTATCAGTTGGGTTATGAAAAATTACTTTTTATGTTAAATAAAAATAAGGCAAGGCAAAGCCAATGACATCACCACCAGTTTCCTTTAGCTATTTGACTCCAGGTTGGCACGGAGACTTAATAATCATCCTCTGTTGGCTGTGTTTGCACAACATAGTAAATCATAAATTAACATAAGCAGATTTTAACCTAGTGTATTATTGGGTAACCTTAGTTGTTTTCATTTACAATTCATGTGTTGTACAAATCGAAAAATTAGATTAACAGAGAAAAACATAGTTATGATTAAGCATGAGTGTGTTTGGCAAACATATCCTACAAGTTGCCTAGGGAGATAAACAGGTTAAGCTTTTCCCTATAAATGTACTGCTCACATATACTGTATTTTCATTTTTTTTTGTAACAAATACTGTTTTCTACAATCAAGATCCTTTTAAAACTAGAGTTTGTCTTCTAAATTATTAACTATACTGTGTAGTCTTGTGTCATCTATATGTCTGATAAACAAACCTTTACATTATAAACGAACAATTTGCGTCAATGATGCCAACCCTTTTTAAAGTGGAGAACAGCCATTCAATAATGTATAAACAGTTGACTGACAATAAAAAGTTGCTGTTTTCCCATTTAGAAATTGAATTGACTCACTGCTGTTCTTTCTTCCCAATGACACTGTCCCACATGTGCTGCCCTAAGCCAAATCATTGAGAGGGAGAGAGAATTAGGCTTATCTTTGGCTTTTAAAATATTTCAGTTAATCATTTTTTCCTAGTAGAAAACATGCAAGCGATTGGAACTGAGCGGGAGCAAGTAAAGATGTATGAATGGGACAGTTTTCAATATGACAGCTGAAATCATGAACTGATCTATTCTCTTGGCCTAGCAATTTATGAAAAATTGAGCAGAGCTTAAGGACAGATCCCAAGGTATTCAAGGTCACACTCTTGTTCAAGTTGACAGCATTGAGAACACGTTGAGTATGACTTTCTTCCCTTTCTTCTTCCTGGAAAACTCTTTCTCATCTGCATTGTCCCCACAACAGTCTTGTGGGACCAGTTGAATGGAGAGAAAATGACTGGCCCCAAAGCTTTCACTGTGCTTCAATGCCTGGTTCTTCCCAGTTCTTGTCCAACGGGTTAGCAAATACTTTGTATGCATTTCCCCCCTGCAACTATAATAAATTGTTGCACGTAGAATAAATTGCCCCATTTTCAGCACTGTCAGATATAAATCTGCAACTCAGAAATAACAAAAAGGAGATTTTTTTTTTTTTTTGCCAAATAGAGATAAACCATTAAACTAGTCTAATAAAGATCAGGCAAAAAACAACAGAGAAACATTTCCTTGGCAATGTACCGGTAGCTAATGATGATGCACAAGCCATGCATATGAAGAAAAATCTTAGCATATGGAAAGGACAAATAGAAAATAGAAGATACTTGATTATATGCAGGAAATTATTTGTTGGGGAAGCTGAAATACTGTATTCAATTTGTACATCTAAACTATAATCTGTCAGAGACTGCAAAAAACTACTTTTTCTTGCCTTTGTTTTGTAAGAGAGTTTCTGCTTTGGTTCTATAAGCATTCTATTTCTTAAACTTGGTAATTATAATAACTCCTAATTTTGCATAGTAGAGCAGTATGTATGTACTCTGTTACTGAAATTTTAAAATATTGTTGCATATTCAAATTACTTATTTAAAAAATTACATGGTTATCTATTTTATAAATGATAATCCTAGGCAATTCAAAATAGTAATACAAACTCACAAAATCCCCAAAGAACTATACTTCTCATGACAGCATCACAAATTTCCACCAACTCTACATTTGCTGGGTTCGCTTCCATCTCAGTCTAATCAAGTGAACAGCCAGGTCTTCACAATCCTTAAAAAGGCTAATAGAGATGGCTCTTTAAATTTTGTGGGGGAGAGGGAAGGCTGTTCCAAAAAGACAGGGACAGCCTCAAAAACAGTTGTGCCTTCATGGTCTTACCAGATGACATCATTTAACAAAAATAAGCTGGAGCTGACTTGGTGGGGTGAGCAAATTTCCTCAGAGAGATACTGTCCTGCAGAACATGACCTCGTGTCATTCAGGGCTTTAACCAGCACCTTGAGTTACATCTGGAAATGAACGGGAAGCCAATGCAGTTCATGCAACTGTGATGTGACATGAGCAAATAATGAAATATTTGCTGTTCCAGTTCTGAGTGGTCTTCAATAGCAGGCGCGCATAGAGCATGTCACAGTAATCTACAGAGTGGTGACAATAAATGACTATGGCTAGGAGCGGTATGAATGATTGTGAGCAAGGATCTCCAGTCTAGGAAAGGAGGCAAAGCCCTCCTCTGCCACAGCTACTCCTGCTCCTACTCTTGTTCAGTATTTTCCTTATGAAAGATTTGTTGATGCTGACATTAGATACTGATACTTGGATACTTGTTTGTAATCTCATGAAATACTGTATGCATTAGTTTTGGGATGCCTCTTGCTGTACTGTATATCCATCCCTAGGAACAGTAAGTGTTGCATTTTCTCCATTTGTACAGTATCTGCCTTACTGTTGATTGATAGAGGCCAAGATCTTTAGCAAGCCCTGTCCAGCCTCCTGAACATCAACATGAAGGCTTCCTGCATCTCTTTTGACTGGGGCAAGATTCAGTTCCACAAACATATGAACAGCATATTCCAGTGATGACAATCAATGTTTGTTTTATAGGGGAGGAACCCTTAAACCCTGATTGCCATCTCACTCACTGAAACTTAATTCAATGTATCCCTCAGATAGCTGATTATCCTAAGGTTTCACATATCTTTTCCAACAAAAACAGGGAATGTTGGCTTAGCATGTTCAATAAAGACACTGTACACTGTTGCAAGAATCTCTATTAACAGGATGAAGCTCTAATGACACTATGTCATAGTAGTGCAGGGATATGAATAGTTCTAAAGAGGCACCGATTTCATCTCAGGGCTGTATACTTAAAAAGAATACCTAAGTGGAAATTCCATACACATTCCCTCAACTATCAATACACAATGGCAATCAACAGGACCAGAGGATGTTATCTCACAAGGCTGCAGTTATCAAGATCTTTCTTCTTTCTAAAAAAATATATGGAATTTCAATGCTCATGCAGTCCTTTACTGTAGCTGTCCCACTTGTAATTGAGCAAAACCTGCATCCAAAATACACGAATCCAACTCTTAATAATGCACCTTGGTTTTTCCCTTTATGATGCCAGAAGCACACTGAAAAGACTACACAGGTCATGATCTTTTTGAATGACCTTGCCTTAGCCAAGTGATCACAACTTTCCTCCCTAGCCTTCAAACTGAGATTCAGTTTGAATTTTCCTTGGCAGGATCCCCAACACCATTCCGGGCAGCCCTCTCTGCTTTCAATCTGTATCCACTCTTCTTTCCAAGCCCCTGAACGGTGCTGAAATAAGCCCAGAGACACCTGAACAGGAGCGGGATGAGGGTGGGAAGAATGGCCGGAGCCGCAGTTGCCCTCCATCTGTGCTCTTTTCTTGCAAGGCAAGGAGGAGGCACCCGATCCCCTTCGGGGCGCCTCGGGTCAGTGTGTGTCTCTTGCAGCTGAACTCCCAAGAAGTTGCGGGTGGCGGGAGAGTGGGGAAGGACGTCCCCCATAGCCTTTCCCAGACAGGGACCACCTGCCCGCTCGCTCACCTTGGCAGCAGCGTTCAAAGTCGCGTGGCTGCAGCCACCTGGACACCCGCTCAGCTGCCGGGCGGCCGCGGTGACCAGCCGCGTCCAGATCATGGAGGCGGCCATGGTCGACCTCCTTCCTGCGGGGCCCCACCGCTCCCGAGAACAGCCCCGCACGCCCGGCGCCTGCGCAGAAAGACAGGAACTGATTCGAAGGCAGCCGAGCCTCTTGGTAGATTTATTTTTCTTCCCGCTCGAGGGAGGAAGCGGAAACCCCCGGCGAAGAGGCCCAAGACCAGGGATCTCCAATCTTGGCGACTTTTTAAGACTTTGTGGACTTCAACTCCCAGAATTCTTTGCAGCTTTGCTGGCTGAGGAAAGCCTACAAAGCTGCAAAGAATTCTGGGAGTTGAAGTCCACAAAGTCTTAAAAAGTTGCCAAGATTGGAGATCCCTGCCCAAGACAGTTGCCCTGCCTTGGCGGCGCGTAACACGTTTTGAGCCCCTTCTCGGGCACGGTACCCTGAAAGCCCTCGAGTTGGTGCTTTGATGCCCCGATTGCTCCGCCCTCTCCTTTAAAGTATTTTAGGGATTTGACTACGTAACGTCGAGTTGTTTCCTAGAGACCGCAGACAGATTTTCTCCATATAACGACCCACCTATCCCGAACCCGGCCTTTCAGCGGTGACGGCCATCGGCTCTGTAACCGAGTCCTTCCACTTGCTGCTGATCTCGTTTTTTCTTCCCCAACGTAACAGCAGCTGCCAAGAAAACTTCCTTTTCCCCGCCTTTTATTCAAAGAGCTTTCATTTTGCTTATGCCAGGGATCTCCAAACTTGCTTATGCCAGGGATCTCCAAACTTGACAACTTTAAGACATGTGGACTTCAACTCCCAGAATTCCCCAGCCAGTATGGCTGGCTGAGGAATCCTGGGAGTTGAAGTCCACAAGTCTTAAAGTTGCCAAGTTTGGAGGCCCGTGGCTTATGTTATTGGGAACCTTTTAAACGCACGCCCCCCTCCCGCCCCCAAACGAATAGCATGCAGGAAAAAAAGAGAGGCCTCCCCTTCGCCGAAACCTATGAAGAGATGCAACAACGCAGGCGTCATGGGATGGACACTCCCCTTTAAAACGGGGTTGGGTTGCCCAGCAGGAGCCCTTGTAGGGAAAGAAAGCCGCCTTATTGAATATATAACGCGAGGCTCCGGAGCAGACCTGCGCCTTATAAAGCCGCGTGAATTTCCTTCTCCGTTTTCTCTGCGCAGGCCTTTACGCCGAGGTCACCAGGGGCCGCTCTCAGCTGGCGGGCCGCTACCCGGCTGCAATACTTTTCTCCCGATCTCTTCGCGCGGCTTCCCCTTCCGGCCAGCAGAGGCGGCGGGGATGGCGGCCGGAGCGAGCGGGGAGCAGAGCAGCACCCGGGAGAGGCTCTTGGCTGCCTTGGACGATCTGGAGCTGCTGGCCAGGTGGGCGCTGCCGGCCGTTGCCCCGTGAACCACTCCGGGGCCGCCCTTCGGGCTCCGCTGCGAGACTTCGCGCTGGCCCTGGAAGAGCCGAACCAGGAATTTAATGAGGGGCTCGTGTTCTTCTTGTGTCCCGGGCTCCTATCCTCAGCCAAAGGGGGTGGCTTAAAATGGGACTCGGGGCGTCTCGACTTGCACATATTATTGGGCGGTTAATAAGTAACCCAGTTTCTAATTATTGATTTCTAAGTTCATCTGACAAAGTGAACTATTTATATCTCGCCTTTTATTACTTTTACAAATAACTCGAGGCGGCGAACACGTCCGATGTACCTTCCTCCTCCTATTTTCCCCACGACAACCCTGTGAGGTGGGTTGGGCTGAGAAGAGAGTGACTCGCCCAAAGTCACCCCGCTGGCTTTCGTGGCAAAGGCGTGACTGCAACTCACTTGCTTTCTGACCTGGTGCCTTAGCCAGGAGCCCAAACTAGCTAGTGGTTAACCATAAAGTGATGTTTTCTATTTCCCTGCAAAACGGTTGCGGAGGGCTGGCAGACTTGAGAAGCATCAGTTGAGGGGGGAGTGCGCTCACGTTGAATCTGGCTTTTGTGTGAAAATTGTTCTTCAAACATTTTACATGTTCAAGTCTGTGGGTGCAGAAATTACTTTTCTGAATTGAATGTAGATTTATTTTGATGCACCTCAGAGCAGAATTTTAAAGATTTGCTTTACATTGCAAATGCTACTTCACCTGACAATCCATGGTCATTAGCAATTGATGAGTAGGGGAAAAAATTACTTATAGTGGCGGAGCTGGTGCCATAGCAGACAGGGTGTAAGCTTTAAACACCATGCCTTTTCTAGCTCAATTTTGCAAACTACTGTATGTATTTTTAAAACTAGAATCCTCATCCCCATTTGCTATCTTTTTACCATAAGACCATTTAAATTGTTTTATTTTTTTTACTAACTGCATTTATTTATCAATCATATTTTTATAACAATTATTTCCCTCAACTATCAAATCTAACTGGATTTACCCCGATTAGCTGAAACAACAGGGGAGTGAAATTTAAGATGAAAGGAAGACTTGATTTATTTACTTTGGAGCAATGGATACTAGACTAAAACTGTCTCCTTTTTGCTCACTTATATTGTTTTGCTTTAGAGAACTGATTGAAGTTTTGGCAATTTCAAGAAACCAGAAGCTAGCACAACCTGGGGAAGAGGGCCAGGTAAAGAGTTTAAATTTTTTATAAAACTATAGAAAACATTATTTTGTTAATTATCTACATGTTGACCAGCCTGAAAAGAAAAGTAGTATGTCTGTTTCTCTACTTTTACTGTAATGTTACATACACTTTACTTTTTTTTTATCCAGGCCCTGAGATTTATAACTAGACCTATTACAATAGAATAGAATAGAATAGCTATTACAAGATTTGGATTTTATTGGAAATCCTGAAATTGACAAGTTAATGTTTTCCTATAACATATAATTTGTTGCATAGATCCTGGAATTGTTAATTCAGCGGGATAAAGAGTTCCAAGAATTGATGAAACTAGCTCTTGATCAAGGGAAAATCCACCATGAAATGCAGGTATTGGAAAAAGTTGTAGAGAAAAGAGACAATGATATTCAGCAGCTTCAAAAACAACTGAAAGAAGCAGAGCATATTCTGGTGAGTGACGTGCTTTGTATCTTTTGATGCTTGTGCCTATTAAATCAGTCGTACAGAAAGTTGGTATAGTTTATTAGTATTAAATACAAATTAGGCTAGTTTACTTTTAATTTCTTCAATCCTTTCCTTTGGTTGTTATGTTACTGCAAGCCAAAGTTGTCTTTACTTTCTTGAAATCTGTTTTCTTTCTCTGCGCTGTCTGCAGGGTTTTTTTCTCCTTGATATTTGGATGTGCTAGCCGGTAACCATATGAGTATTTTACATGAATCCTAAAGCATGTACTAAAGAAGATATAATGGCTCCTTGAGCCTGAAACCTCTAGTTATCAAATTGTTGCCTGAATTTATGCAGTATGTGGAACTATAAGCAAGAGGTTGAATTGTACAATTCTTTGGACCAAAATCATATTTTGGCTAGCATGCTGTACAAAATCAGTCATTTTAGTTTTTGCTTTAGCATTTTGTATGAAGCCAATTGTCATTTAATTAACAGCCCATTATTTAACTATAATTTAATACAATTTTAAACAGGCAATATTTTTTTTTGTTAGTATATTGGTTAGAGATACAGCCCTAAAGAAATGTAGAAACATTCTTGGAATCCTATTGAATAACCAAGCTGTTGTTCTTAAACTTTTCCTTTGATTAGGATAACTTGCATATTTCCTAAACTAATTTTAATTTCTGTAAAGAGGATTTATAAAAGAATGCACTTTTTATAAATCAGCATAACAATAAATAGTATTTTGCCTATAGGCTACAGCTGTTTATCAAGCAAAAGAAAAACTGAAATCAATAGAAAAGGCAAGAAAAGGTAAGTGTTGTTTTTAATTATTTCTTAGGAAGTCTGTTATCACAACAGACTAAGTTGAACATTGCATGTCTCATGAAATTTATAAACATTTGTTTCAATCATAATTTATTTTCATCAATAATTATGTATTTTTAAATTTTCATGGTACATTTGAAAAACAAGACAATTCAGTAGCATATCATTTATTCCTGTTCACTTCATCATTGGCAGCTTGATACAGCTGTGACCAAAACAAATTGAATAAAATCTTGCAATCTTCTATGAGATCTTTGAGTCCAACAATAGCTGCCTGCCAGAGCAATTATTTAGAAGAGGACTGAAGTGAAATTAAAAGGAGTACTTGAACAACATACATATTCCTGGTTTAATTTCTCAAGCTTTGTAAGTTTTTGGTGCTTCACGGGATGCTAGATATAATTATGAGAAGGGCAATGGCCTTCCAGATATTCGAAAATTGCAACTCCCAGCATTCTTTACATTAGAGCAACAGGGAATTGTAATTTAACTATGTAGAATTATAGAGCAGAACAGAAAGTAAAACTACTGGAATGTCTTTGTTGTCTGTAATATATTCGTGAATCAGCAGGGAGGAATGTTCTGAATGTTTGGCTTTTACTGCATGATTTTTGTACAAGAATTTAATTTGAAGATACAGGAATTATTTTAATTTGGGGATTTCAAAGAGAACCATCATACCATATGAAAATGTAGCACCTTACAAGATACATTTCCATTATAGAAGAGAGATTGAAATGCAAATAGAACTGCCCAAAAGAAAGAAAGGGCTGGGGAAAACAAAAGGAAATTATCCTTGGATAATGTTAGTGCTTCTACATTTTTTACTTGAAAGGACCACTAGTGAATTTTTTATGTTACAGAATGGATGGCTGCATGCATTCATTGTATCTACATTTCTTACAGGAGCTGTTTCTTCTGAAGAAATAATTAAATATGCTCATAGAATTAGTGCCAGCAATGCTGTTTGTGCTCCTCTAACTTGGGTGCCAGGTAAATAATAAATATGTCTATATCATCTTATTTTTACTGATAGTAGGTATTTTAGATATTCTTTGGTAACTGCAAATATGTTTATGTATACTACTACTTGGTAAATTTGATAAGACAGTTGTAATGAAAATACATAATTTCTATCATGGGAGGTTTAGTGTTTGGGATTATTAAGGTGAAAGATGCTTTGGAGCACACGCAATTCCTTGAATCTGCCTTTTAGAATTAAGCTATAGTTGCAGAGGCAGCCCGAGAAAAGGTGCAGCTACTTTAAGGAGTTGTCAGTACTCTTTGAGTGCTACATCTTTTTTCTTTTGACACTTGAATTCTGACTACTGAATGCATGCTCTGTGCTACCAAGTGATCAGCTGTTAACTTATCTAAGATTTTTTAAATGAAGAGTATGACAAGGAAAATAAATTATTTGTTCATTCATGCTATTTCTAAAGGCCATTCATGAATGACTTCAGGTTTACAGAAGGTTAAAACAAGTAAAGGTAAATGAAAGCAATAGTAAAAATAATCACAATAAAAGAAAAACCACTATTATATATTTGATTTATATTTGCTTATTCGGAATTGCAAACAAAATCATTATTTTTAAGGGGATCCTCGAAGACCATATCCAACTGATTTGGAGATGAGGAGTGGTCTTTTGGGTCAGATGAACAATCCTTCAGCAAATGGAGTTAATGGACACTTACCAGGAGATGCACTTGCAGCCGGCAGATTGCCAGGTAATAAAGATTTAAGAGAAATGAGTCTGCTGTCAAGTGTGTTTGTATGCATAATTTGCATAGATATGTATGGGATATGCAGTGTGGAACCTTAGGCATGGCAAATGTTGTAAATCTCAGAAATTAATGACATTAGGAAAATAAAGAAGTCCCTTGAAATAAACTATTTAAGAATTAATTTATTTAAAATAAAAGTAGAATGAAGTATATTCAAAGAGATTAAAAATGAAAATATTAAAAGCATTTACTTATCACTGTAGTGAAACTGTGTAAAGTATTTGCACAGGCTTGAGTAAAAGAATTATTTAAAAAAATAGCTAGTCTGTAATGGAAAAACAAGTGATACTATGAAATGTAGTAGAAGGACATAAGATCAGGATGTCTTCAGCTGTTTTAGCACTTAGTGCCCCATAGTGCTTTACAGCATTCTCTGGGTGGTTTATAATGTCAGCATATTGCTCCCTTCAATCATTTTACCAACCTCGGAAAGACTGAATCAACCTCCAACTTGATCAGGATTAAACTCCAGGCTGTGGACAAAATTTGTCTTCATTCTAACCACTGCACTGTTAGGACTTGGGGTTTTTGGAATATCAGCATCACCTTACCACTGAAGTTGAAACCTATGAAGGGAATAAGGTTGCCTTCTTTTTCTGCAAGATGCTTTTCTGGTGAAATTGTACATACTGCTAATTTTAGAGGAAAGACGACTTCTGAGGGATGAATTTAATCCTGTGAATTTTTTTAAATGGAAAAAAATAAAGCTTTACTAATGGTGAGAAGAATTAAGCACATGAATTTCTAAAGAAGACAAGATTCTGGTAGTTTGTAATAGCCTGAGAAATAAATTAGACAAAAATAACAAAAGGGTGGATAGGTGGCTTGGAAAATAGTCACAAGTCACTGTTTTCAGTGCTGTTGTAACTTCAAATGAATGGTTGTAAGTTGAGGACTACCTGTACAAGGCACTCTTAGCATCAGAGGATTTAATGGGAAAAAGAGTTATGTTCTTCTTAAATCAGTGGGAATTGTGTGACAAGTTTACTTTTTGTAAAATTGATGTGCAATTTTATACCGTAAATTTCTGGTTGTCAGGTTCCTCCATGTCATTTTATTATTAAAAAAATAAATAAGAGCATGGAGTAATTGTATATTGTACATTTCTTTTTTCTTTAGATGTACTTGCACCACAATATCCCTGGCAATCAAGTGACATATCAATGAACATGCTTCCTCCTAATCACAGCAATGACTTTATGTTAGAACCTCCTGGACATAATAAGGAGAATGAGGATGATGTAGAGGTTATGTCAACAGATTCCTCTAGTAGCAGTAGTGACTCCGATTAGGGCCTGCATCTGAATCACTTGATTGTATCTGCATATACATTCTGCATTCCAGATGGAGGCTGCTGTACCAAGGAGGAAACTTAAAAATTCATGAGAATCTTTCTCTTGTATTTGAAGATATGACTTTATCCCAGAATGTCAGATAATTGTTGGAATAGGGTGGAGGTAGCCACTGGAAATATGTTATGCTCTGACATAATTTATTTTGGTATGTGTTTACTCATAAAAATGTTTTTGCACAAAATAAATATCTATGAAATTGCAAGTTAGCTGTTGCTTGTGAGTAGAGTAACATTTCTATAAACACCAAAGAATTGCACGAAGCAACTGTCACCAATCTTGGAGGACAGAGACAATGAATTCAAAATGACAGTGAAGGGGAATTCCTTAATACTGTACATTTTTATAGTAAGTCTTCCAGTCTTTCAAAATAGATCTTCAAGCATCAGAGATGTGGGAGAAAATTCTATTCTTCAATGCCATTAAAGAAGCAGTCTATGAGTAAAAGTCTGCTAACCGATCTTTAGATCCAATAATCTTTCCAATTGCATAAAATCAGAAAATATTTAGATGAGACTTCCCCAGGCTGCTACTCTGCATGTGCATTTGTAATACTCTACCAGCACTCCTACTTCCTAGACTTTTTGTCATGAGGGTGTAAAATAGTTTTGTATGAATTTTGCTAGTAGAATTCATTCACAATCAGGTTATGTATGTAGCAAATAAGAGCTTTTGCATATAAAATAGTAAGTTTTTACTAAAAAATACTGAATGTATAATGAAATACATCATGTCTTGTTTAATGAATTTTAGGGAAGTGAGGTCATAAGGTCATGTAATGTCTCTCTGAATCATGGAGTTGCTGGTCCCAATTGTGACTGCTAAGTGCAGACAACCTGAATTTTTAACAGTAAGCTAGGCCCATTAAACATGTCCTAAGTCTGGCAACCAGAGAGTATTCAGGAGGTGGCTTTGGTTCTCAATCTTGGAGGACAGAGACAATGAATTCAAAATGACAGTGAAGGGGAAGGCAAGGAGGTCAAGGGGAAAGGGAGAGAGAAATGGTGTTGGATCATCAGAAGCCAGGCAGGGCAAAGGAAAACATCAGTGATAGAAGATAAAGACAGCCATAGAGAGAAAGTACAGTATAATGAAGAAAAGGCTAGCTTTTCAGTGGAAGCACTCGGGACTTAGCCTTCCCAACGAACTACAGGAAGAGGTAAATTTTAAGAAACCTGAATAATAGGAATGGATTCAAACATCCTGGAAACCTTTTTCTTAAAAACTAATTTATTGATTAAATCAGAATTGGCAAATTCTCTATATTAAGCCAAAATTAAATTGATATACTCTGTGAACTCAGCCTGCCTGTTTGTTATACTTGGGCACATATTCCTGACTGTTCCAGGTTACCAGGATGGATTTTTTTCACTCTTTGCTGTTTTATCTTATCTGCTGAGATCCCCTGCTAAAATACTGCTCACGTCAGTTTTAAAACAGCAGTCAGTTTTTAAAAAACAAAAACAAACGGCACTTTTCTCTTGGATCTGTCCTGTGCTAACTTTTTCTTTCTAATTAAAATATCCCCAAATCAAAGGCTTTTTGTTTAAAAATAATTTTCTTGAAAAAAATTAAAGGCTCAGTTGACACGAAATGGATTTTCATAGTTCCTGGTTAACTCAGTTAACCATAGGCAAAATCCACACAATATATTGAGCTAATATGGCTGAACACATTTTGGTTCAGCATTATCATGCAAAAATAACTAATGGAAAACTAAACACAATATGGGTTGCATAGAAACATGTTAAGGGTTTTTTCCCATTATTGGAAACGTTTCACAGGTTTTCATGATGAAAAAAGGCTTGCACACTGGTAGTAATTTTGCTTTTTTTCCAATGGTGGTACTCTTAAGTCAGAGAGCAAAATGGATTAGAATGGGAAGACAGTTTACAATATGGACCTTTTGTGATTAGATCATATCATTTATGGACGCAACTATAATACTTTTACTATACAATCAATCATCTTTTCTCACAGAGCAAAGTGACAAAATATAGAATGCATTATTGCAGCTACGTTGACCAATAATAAAACCATCAGTATCACAAGTACGCATTAAGCTCTATATATTAGGATACATCACTGTATTAAATATGTTGTAAAGAAAAATATGTGAAACTGTGTGCCAAACTACAGCTTTTGGAGGGAATATGATTACTGCCATTCATGCAGTATTGACAGAGGTTGGTTCCAAGTATTTAGAGCAAATGTACAACTTGGCACTGATAACAAAAGTCTCTTCGTAGGGGCCTATTGATAAATTGTTTTAAATCCAGAAAATATAATTTTTAGAAATTTCCAGTATACCCAATCAGGTGGTTTAATTCTTCTTTGAAAGGGTTATAATTTTGTTCTCTTAAGCAGCGTAGGGGCCAGAAGAGTTTATTGGCTGGTGGAAACTCATCCCATTTTACCCATTCCCAACCTACAAAAAGAAAAAGAACAACATTTCAGTATAAGAAGAAAATTAATCTGTCAATGATTGCTAGGATTATGTAGTGTCAGATTGGGAAATGGGAGTTTATTATATAGAGGAAGAAAGTCCCGGGAAAGTAGTAAATGCCTAACATTCCCACAGTGTTATGAATGTGATGCAAAGACATTTTTTAACCCAGAAATGCAAAACGATTTCATCATTTTACAATGCTCCATATGGCTGGGACAGTTGCAAGTGGTGCATATAATGTTCAATTTTAAAGAAAATAAAAGGCATAAAAATCAAAACATTACCAAGAAAAAAAACTTTCATATGTCTAAAACATAGGTACCTCTCAAGAGAAGACCAATTGCATGCAGGTGGCAGCAAATTAAATGCCAATCTCTAATGATCACCAAACCTATCCTGGCAAAAAGGATGTATGCCCTGATTTCAAACTGTTTGAATGGTTAATCATTGCTTCAATAACATACATAAGCACAAGCCCAGCCCTGTTTAATATAGTAGCCCTGAAGATATTAGGTCAAGGGCCATGTTAATCCAGCATTTTGTTTCATATGGTAGTTATTACCAAGATATCTCCAGAAAAAGCAGATGGAAACAAACTTCTGCATAAAACTAGGTTCAAGCATTCCTGTTTTATTATTACATTTTAGTATAATATCTGAGTTGCAACCTGCCTAATTATTTTGGAGTCTTACAACTTGACATGATACTTGGTTACAGAAGTTTAAAACAAATATTGAGTAGACAACTCAAAAGATAATACTGGGATACATTTTCAGTACCCTAGATTCTGGAAGTTAATTCAAGGTAAATTAGAGAAGCTTGCAGCCAAAGCCTTGCCTAGATACAATATCAACAAATAAGGGATATGATTTGCACTTTGATACACCCACAAATGTTCAAACAATAAACAAACAAAAAGCAGGAAACCATTCTCACATTGTACATATATGCAGACAATATGGATACAGAGTTTTAAAAAAACTTACTTTCATTTTTATCAGGTTCCAGATTCTTTGGTTCAGATTCATGATTCATATCAATGTCTCCTTTCATTAGGATGGTGACATAATGGTAATTGTCCTTTAAACTGGCAGCATTTACAACTGAAGCAAACTGCACATTTGTTAGATGCAAAGCAGCTTCTTCTAAAGTTTCTCTCTTTGCACATTCTACCAAACTTTCACTGCACAGAGGAAAAGTGAAGGAAATATGAGTCAGCCAGAAAGCAAAAGTGGTCCTATCTGTTTGAAACATCACAAGAATCCAGTTTATATGACAACTAGCAGGCATCTACTCTGAACAAGGTGCCTGAATATTTTTATCAGCTTTATTTGCCCTTATTCTCAAAGATATTGTTTTGCTTATAAAGAAGGGATACTTTATTTTCATTAATTCATTTTCTGTGATGTAGCATAATTAATATTTGTTTACTGATGTAAGGCCTTTTTGTATGTTGAGATAGTGGGAAATCTTTGGTGTTTCAGTAGCTTCAGATTGTTTTTCTTATTTTCATCTTTAGTCTTATATGGGGTTGCACTGCCCCACATAACCTGGTGGCCAGAGCAGGTGCTTAGGGAGGTCTTTGCCCAGTTTCAATCTATGTGCCAGTTATGCCCTTTCCTGTATGTGGGGGTTCTCTGCTTGGTCATTGATGCCCTATTTAATTCGAATTTGGACTATTGCAACATGCACAACATAGGTCTATCTTTGAAAGGTATCTGGAAGATTCAGGTGGTACAAAATGCAGCTGCATGGGCAATTTTAGGTGTCCAAAGGGTGCATGTAACACCTCTGCTTTGCAAGCTGCATTTGGTGCCAATTTGATTCCAAGTCCAATTCAAGGTGTTGATTTTGACTTATAAAGCCCTACATGGCATGAGGCCAGCTACCTACGGAAACGTTTTGTCCTATTACATCAGCCCATCCCACATGATCAGGTAAGGGAAGGTATGTTGCAGACTGTCAGTTCTCCTGGCAGGGTCAAGGAAGAGAATCTTCTCTGCTGTTGCCCCACCCTGTGGAATATTTTCTTACTCAGGCCCCCACTTTCCTGGCCTTCTGAAAAGGCATTAAAACCTGTCTTGACCACAAACAAAACCAGCATGGTTGCATTAAAAAACTCTGATCAACTGAAAGACAAAAACGACAAGAATAAAAAGTGGAAAGAGGGATACATAACTAAAACAGAATACCAGCATATAGCATGAATCTGCAGATGACATCAGAAAAGCTAGGGCTCAGAAGTAAGAACTAAGACTTGCAACAAATATGAAAAATAAAGTTTCTTTCAATATGTAAAAAAACAAGAAAAAAGTCAAGGAATTCATTAATGGGAGAAGATGGCAAAGAAGTGACAGGCAGCAGTGAAGAAAGCAGAGCTGCTGAATTCATACTTTGCATTGATCTTTACACAAAAAGAAAAAAAATATTTCAACCTACCAACGGCAATACTGTAGGAGACAGAGTAGGAATGCAAGTCAAAATAAGCAAGAAAATGGTAAGACTACTATCTATTCTAGACAAGTTCAAATCACCTGGACCAGATGAATTACTGTATTTTTCGGACTATAAGAAGCACCGGACCATAAGACAAACCTAGGTTTAGAGAAGGAAAACAAGAAAAAAAAAAGTGTTTGGCTTCTGTGTGTCCCGTTTTCAGCCTCCCCAGCCCCCAGAAGCACTCTGCAGGCCAAAAATGGGCCCATTTTTGCCCTCAGCAGGTCCCGTTTCTTTGCCTTCCCTGGCATCCGGAAGCTCTCTGCTGGCCAATTTGCTTCTGGATGCCAGGGAGGGCAAAAACAGGACCCGTGGAGGCCTCCAGAGACCATAAACTGGTCCATTTTTTTGCCTGCAGAGAGCTTCTGGATGCTGGGGAGGCACGGAGGGTTTGTGAGGCCAAAACCAGGCCCATATTTGCTCTATAAGAAACACAGACATTTCTACCCACTTTTTTTTGGGGGGGGGGGGGGGGGGACGGACGGACGGACTGCGTCTTATGGTCTGAAAAATACGACACATTCCAGAGTTCTGAAGGAGGCCGCAGATGTGATTTCAAAACTACTGAACCCTACTTTCAAAGATCCTGGAGTACCAGGGAATTACTAAAAGACCAGAAAAGAACTGATATGGTTCTCATCTTCAAAAAAAAAAAAAAAAGGCGGGGGGGATGGATCCAAGAAACTACAGAACAATCAGCCTGACATCAATACTTGGGAAGATTCTGGAAAAGATAACCAATCAACAGATCTGTGAATGCCAGACAAACATTGCATTATTTGACAAAGTGACTAAATTAGTGGACCAGTGAAATGCTGTGGACATTGGACTTCAGTATTTTAACGAAGTAGATAACAACCTACTTCTTTGGGTAGACATTATCACCAGATTGATTCGTAGCTGGCTGACCAACTCTCAACATGAAACTACAGGTACATGAAGAGAAGTATACAGTGGGGTAACCCAAAGTTCTGTCTTAGGCCCAGTACTCTTCAATGTCTTCATAAGTGTTTAGATGAGGGGCTAGAAGGGCTACTCATCAAATTTGCACATAACACCAAGTGGGGGAGAGTAGCCAACACTTTAGAACAGGGGAGGCAATTACTTTTCCCAAGGGGACACATGCAAAACTGAGACGGTTGTGGAGAGCTGAACCAATGGGGCTGCTGCAGCGCCCCCTGCCATCATGGATTGGATAAAGACAGCCACGGACAGTGGAATGCCCAGGTTTGTCCAGAAGGATCTTGATAGAATGTACACTGGGGCTTATACAACAAAATGTAATTTGTTGATAAGAAAAATAAGGGTTTACATTTAGCCAAGAAAAACCAAATGCATATGTATAGAACAAATGGTACCTGGTTTAACAGCAGTAATTTTGAGGGGGATCTAGATATCCTAGTAGATAACCACTTAAGTATGAGCCGGAAGGGTGCCGCAATTGCTGAATAAAGCCAATACAGTCCTAAACTGCATCAACCAAGGGATGGTATCAAGATCACATGAAGTGATGATACCGCTTTATACTACATTAGTAACACCACACTTGGAATACTGCATCCAGTTTTGATCACAATACAAAAAAAAGATGAAACTGTGCAGAGAAGAGCAACAAAAATAATAAGGGGACTGTAGGATGAAACACAATGAATGGTTGCAGCAGCTGGGTATGTCTAGCCTAATGCAGAGAAGGACTGAGGTGGCTTGATAGCAGTCTTCCAATATTTGAGGGGCTGCCACAGAGAGGAGAGGGTGAGCCAAAGCACCAGAGGACAGGACAAGAAGTAAGGGATGGAAATTTTATCAAAGAGAGATCCAATGTAGAACTAAAAAGAAATTTTCAAGGAGAATAATTAATCGTTGGAACAGCTTGCCTTCTGAAGTTGTGGATGCTCCATCTCTGGGTTTTTTAAAGAAAGGATTGGATAGACATTTTTCCAGAATGATATAGGGTCTCCTCCTTGAGCAGGGGGTTGGACTAGAAGATCTCCAATGTCCCTTTCAACTCTGTTATTGCTTACTATGACTGCCACTAGAAAGTTAAGCAATCTCTAACATCCCATTATTAGGACCAAAGCCTTTCTTTCCTTTTCTCTCAATTCTCTGCTGCAATAAGGCCAGTAGCAAAATCCCACATTTTAATAGTTATTAACCAGTAATACCAGATTTGGGCTACAAAAAAGAAGAGCAAATCTGTTACCATTCGTCCTCATTTGCAATCAAAACCTAGAACTTTACCACCAATAAAAGCTTAAAAAAAATAACTCCACATAATTAAAACTATTTCTAGCTTGAGCAGGGGGTTGGGCTAGAAGACCCCCAAGCTCCCGTCCAACTATTATTCTGCTACCGATATCAAGAACGACTGACTCCTTACTTACTAATTCTCTTTTTCTCCTTCCTTCCTTCCTTCCTCAGGGTGTATGAAGCCTACACCTTTTTAAAATTAAAACCACTCATTCATTCAGAAGGCACCCCATCTATTTAACCCGGTGTTTTTCAAAGACTACAGCTGTAAACGTGTGGACTTCCAATCCCGGAATGTTGACTGTGGGATTCAGGAAATTGGGGTCCAAACATCTTAAAGTAGCCGAATATGACAAACGCCCATTTCATCCCACGGCAGGACCCGCCAAAAGCCCCTCCGCCAGCTCCACGTGCGCAGGAGAAATCGGCCTGAGGTACGCCTCCAGCTCACCCAAACTCTAAGTGCCCTCCGGGAAGCTGGAAGAAGCCCTTTCCGACGACACTTCTCCGCTTGCCTACTAGGACGCAACCAGGGTGCCCGGGGCTCCTGATCACCACCCCAACTCCGACCCCTGGGCGCAGCTGCTTCTCCATGGCCAGACCCGCAGAGTTGCGCTCGGTTTAACTCCGCCTACCTCCGCCAGTCGCGCAGCCAATCTGCGTGGGAGAGGCTTTTTTTTTTTTTTTGGCACTCTTCTCAGGGCTCAATTGCCGGTGGCAATTGCCCATTTGGTAGCAGAGACGTTCAAGAAGGGTAATTAATATGTCGATTTAAAAAATACCTTTAAAAGGACAGAAGCCATCTTAAAATCTCCTCTGGGAAACGAAAGAAAAGCCGACTAATAAAAATCTAATAAAAATGCAGTTCAGGGTAAACAAGCACAAAATAATACCAATAGGGGTAAAACCGCCAAACTTCACTTTAAAATGAAGAGGCTGGCTCTGACTTTACCCCTTGTTGCCTTAATCGTGATTTACTGGATTTGCACAGTGTGCACTAGGCCACAAATTGATAACCTTAATGAAGCATCCTTGGATGTTCTTGGAAAAATTAAGCTTGGTCAAACCTGATTAGTAGGTAGTTGGAGGCCACAGGGAATTATAAAAGGGCTAGACTGAGAGGGCCAGTTTATAGTAGTGGTTAAGGCATCAAGGCTAGAAATCAGGAGTCCTTGAGTTGGATTAGCTAGGCCAGTCACTTTTTCTCAGCCCTAGGAAGCGGGCAATGGCAAACCACTTCTGAAAAACTTTGCCAAGAAAATTGGGAACTTGTCCAGGCAGAAGAAAAAACAAAACATATGCAGTGGGAAACAAAGATTACATGTCTGTGTTTTTGCCAGGAGTTGAGCTAACTGGCTGGTCTTTAATTTACAGCTCAGGCCGTTATTTAGCCAAAGATGAGCACATCTGTAATAGCAGAAGTAAATATCTGCATTAAAATCCTGGAGGGGCGGGTATGTGCCTGTGTATGACTGTGGGAGTAAAAATGAAAGTAAAAATGAAAGCTGAATGCATTTAGGAGACATTTTATGACTTAACTCATGGTTGCCTTATTTTCTTTAGTAACTCAATATTACATAGAGCAAGAGTCTTCAAACTTGGCAAGTTTAAGACTTGTGGACTTCAACTCCCAGAATTTCTGAGCTAACATGACTGGAGGAGGAACTCTGGGAGTTGAAGTCCACAAGTCTTAAAACTGTCATGTTTGACAGAGTATGGTCGGAACCAAGAGAGCTTTATAAGTAATTTCCGACCTAAGCCAGCGGTTTTACACCAGCTGAATTCACCCAGTTTCAGACGGCCACAATCTAGCGCCTGCTCTTAAGTTGGCATCTCAGATAAAACCTGAGCAGTTGTGATCATGTTTTTGTGCCTCGGGCAAACTTCTGCAGAAGGAAGGCTTGTGCTCTGCTGGAGCTTTTGGTTTCCTGCACAGCAGCTCCGACTTCTGGTCCGTGGAGTGTGGTTCCCGTTTGCCCTGCGGCGGAGAGCTGGCTGCTTGATCCGGGCGTCGACGCTGAGTTGGCTGGCTGGCTCCCGCCTTCGGAAATCCTCCCCCTGCCTCTCGGCTTCCCTGGCTCGGTCGGGCAGGCTCGGCACCTGAGGGCGACAGAGAAAGAGGAGGGAAGCGCGCAGAACCTTCAGCTGCCCCGCTCTGCCCGTGAGACTCGGCGAGAAATAAGCGGGGCCCCGATCGGCCACTTTCGCCGCAGCTGCCTGACGCTTTGTTCCTTGCTGAAGCCTTAGCTTTCTGCAGCCATGGTGAAGGTCTCGTTTAACTCGGCCTTGGCGCAGAAAGACGCGGCCAAGAAGGAGGAGGAGGAAGGGGGGCAGAATGAAAAAAACAGCTGCAGCAACCAAGTGCTCATCTTGCCCCCAGACACAAAGGTGAGGAGGAGTCAGGCGCAGTGGCGCCGGCAAATGCTCCTGCCGAGGGCAAGCACCAGAAACGAGAGCGGTTTTCCCGGGCGCGGAGCAGCAGCTTATCTTGCAAGCTGCCGTGCAAAAGAGCAATCGGGAAACGCAGCGCCCAGTTTGGAAGGAGGACGGTGTGGACATCCGGGGGGAGCAAGATGGGGTCGAAACAAGGAGGGACTGGGGCGTGCGGGGAGGATATATATAGGGCCTAGTGAGGTTCCGGAAGAAGCTTTAAGCCGGCTGGGGCTTTGGAGAGACGGGTGTATTTATCATGGGTTTTTAACTCGAAGAGTTGCCTCGGAGCACGACAGTAGGAAAGTAAAATATTACCTCAATTTTGGCATATCAGTCTATGAATCTAAAATGGCTGACGCATGAGCAGCCTTTAAACATCGCGGGTGTCTCTTTATATTTACATATTTTATCTCAGTTGCTTAGGTCCGGGTCGACCTTGCATTTTTTTTTGCATAACATCCGGATTTTGCTTGGGCTCTGAACCTAAATGGAGTTGGGCCTGATTAGTACTTGGATGGAAGACCCCGGGGAACTCCAAGACTAGATTGGCGTGGGATTTAGGGAAAAAAAGTATATAATATTTTGACATTGGATTAGATACCATTAAAAGGGCAATGGCAATTGATTTCAAATTTGATGTTCTTGTTCATGAAATCTAATGCGATTTCAACCAGTAATTTTGGAAAGTATTTTTAAAATTTTGGATCCTATGTGTGTCAAGGGAAACAGAGTTTCTGGCCTGCTTTAAAGCAGGAAACTCTCTGGATAACCTTTTCCAGTCACTCCCTGTGCCTGAAGAATGCAAAAGTAAAGCACTAATGAAAATTGCATGCACTTGTCTAGTTGCCAGGCATCCAAACTGACTCAGGAATGGCTTACTTGACTGAAGATTGTGATTTTGGATTTCTTTTCAGTTCACCATTAGATCCAGTAAAACTGATCATACAACACCTGTTATATAACCCATTATTTGGATGTATACAGAACATTGAACCATAAACTAACTAGATGTGCAAGGTTTATACTGTACTGTACAACATTCTAACCTGTAATGTTCCTTGGGACTGACCATGGAAGACAGGAGGAAGATCTGGAGCTTAGACAGTGGTCTGATAAGAAATCTTGAGTTCAAAAGTGGGGTGGAGAAAGGGTTTCACAAGGGATCCTCCATAGTTTTTGAGAGAGTAAAAGTAGAGGACAGGAGAAGTACTTTCAGACTTGCAGGATTCTATTAACCTTACAATAAATACAGAGCTAGTATTAATTATCTTGCTTATCTTCAGTACCTTGAAGGCTATCAATCAAAAGGGGAAATCAAATTTGTTAAAACTATCAAAGCTTAGCATGTCATATGTTTGCAGTTTTTAGTTCTTTAAGTGAGCTGATTAAGTGTGGATTTGTGAAAGGAAGTATTCATTCAACCACTTGGTTGTCCTTTGTCCTGATACTATAACTTACAACAACCTAAAGCAGGGGTCTTCAAACTTGACAGCTTTGAGACTTGTGGACTTCAACTCCCAGAATCCCTCCTCCAGTCATGTTAACTTAGGAATTCTAGGAGTTGAAGTCCACAAGTCTTAAAGCTGTCAAGTTTGAAGACTCCTGACCTAAAGTATACTATTTGATCTAAAGAGAGTGGCAACAGTGACCATTTGGAGTTCAAATTAGTCAAAAAAATGTGGGTCAGTCTTGATGGCTAAGAAGTTACAAATAGCATGATATATACTCCTGGAACCTAGGAAGGATTTCTTCTATACTTTTGAAAGAATTTTGTTGTTATGAGACAACAGGCCAGATGGAAAGAAGAGGCTTCAGGCAATCTCTTTTATTTGGACTTTTCCTGTCCATCAGTACTTGGGCAGCCACACTGGTCCATGCTTCCTCCCTGGTGACGATGTTGTTGAAAGAGCAGCAATCGAAGAATTCTTGTGAATGAAGAAACTAATCTGTGGCCACTATAGAAAGTGGTAAGGACAGGGGAAGGAAGATCAACTTTTCTCATGCGATGCAGAAAATGCAGGTGCTGTTGTGCCCTCTTCACTAGTGTCTCACTGTTGAGCGACCAAGGTAGCCTACTCATTAGCTGCACACCCAGAAACTTGATGCTAACCACCTACACAGGTGAATCATTAATACGTAGAGCTGTGCCTGCCTTTTCTGAAATCGACAATGATCTATTTAGTTTCTTCTATGTTTAAATGAGGTTGCTTTTGTTACAACAGTTCACTAAACCCTCTGCCTCCTGTAGTAAGTACCCTCATCATCTTGAATAAGGCCCACACTATGTTCTATTGTCTGCATACTTCACAATATGGTTGGTGGTAAACCTAGCACAACTGTCATGGGTCAACAGGATGAACAACAGCGTATTTAGGACACAGCCCTGAGGAGAACCGGTGCTCAAGAAAATGGTGTTAGAAATATTAGTCCCAACTCGCATGTATTGGGGCCTATCAGTAAGAAAATCAAGAATCTAGTTGTACAAAGCAGTATTAAAGCCTAAATGGCCTAATTTGTTTACTAGATGCTAAGGGATGATTGTATTAAATGCTGAACTGAAGTCAACAAACAACATTTGCACATGAGTGCTTTCTAGTATTTAATAATTTTAAAAGTGTTTAATATTTTAATAAATTTATTTTTTATTTTATTTATATTTATTAAATAAGTTTAATAAATTTCTGTTTAATAATTAAAAACTGCCTGCAAAAAAAATTGTGAGCTCTTTTTGCCGATGGAATAGCTTCTGTATTAGAATTCCACCTGCCACTCCAGAAGGGAATTCACGGATTCTGTGGAAGATTTGGTGGTGGTTCAAGATGGAAAAGAAAAAAGGAAGCCTGTTCACATAACATGGACACAAGTAGCGATTGCATTATACCTACACGATGTAGCTGGATATATCTCACTATTGATTACTTTTTTGTGTGTGACTTTTTAGGATCCAGCAGAAGTGGTGCCTCTTGGAAAAAGAAGAGCTTGGTGCTGGTGTATGTGTTTTGGATTAGCTTTTATGCTTGCTGTTGTAATCCTTGGTGGTGCCTATCTGTACAAGTATTTTCAAATTCAGGTAAATGAAAATATATATATGACCAAGCTTTGAATGTTTTTGTTAACTTACTAGCAATTGTCCAACTTGGCTTATCAGCTAAAGTCTTAATATTAAAAAAATCATTTTTAATATTTTTAAACTTGAAAAAATT